CATAAATTCATTCAACCATCTATGGAGCCACCAGAGACGTAAAGGTCCTCTGGTGCTGGGTTTCATAAGGGATCAGCAAAAAGGGTCAAGAGAGAAAAAATGTTGAGCTTTATTTTAAGCTTCTGATTGTGTTTTCCATATCAAGCTTAATAAAAGCTTAATTGGGGCAATTCATCGCAAATGTCCTGCTTCTTAATTCTTTTGACAGAAACTAGCTACCATGGCAGACAAAGGGATTTTACAAGGATTATTATGCAATGTTGTACAAACAGCCAAAACTGCATTATGCTCAGTATCTTTGAAGAGCCTGGCGTTCCTGCTTTGGAATGACTCAATGTAATGTCCTCCACGGTGTCTCTTGGGACACTTACCTCCTGTCCCACGTATTTGTGGTCCTTCATCCACACCCAAACTTTGCTCCCACTCTCTGAATTTCCCAATCTCAAGTATTTGTCACACTGAGTTATTAAAGCACCCTGATTCACTTTCACTCACTTAAATAGTTATGTGGAAATTACTCATGTTGTTGGCTCCTGGAAAATAAATTTGTAATGATTTTTTCTGAGCTGTCATATAATATGCTTCCTTGACATCTGGAATCCAAGTGCGGTGGAGTGGAGTGATAACAATGCTATAGTGGTAACAGTTAGAAAACAGAGATATGATGGCAAAGGAGCCATTTGAAGAAAGACAATAAACTTGAGTTAAATTTAACAAGCAGATATAGAGTATCAATCAGGTACAAAAAGAATCTACACTAGCTGTGGAAAAGGCTACAAAATGAGCAAGATGTAATCACTCTGGAACCTTCAGAAGCTTATGACTTAGTGGGAAAATGGATATTGACAAGTATGAAATGCCTTATAGATTACAAATAAAGCTATATAGGAGTGCAAAGTAAGCAGTTATTAACCCTGGATATGACAGCATATGGGCCATGGAATTCGTTAACATCTTGGGCTTTGTAGCCAGACAGGCCTGGGTTAAAATATTAACTTTACCATTTACTGGCTTTCTAGTTTTTCCATCTTAAGCAAATTACTTAATCTTCTGTGTCTCAACTATCTCAAAGATAAAATGGGTTTAATTATAATAATTATCTCATCAGATCACTGGGAAGCTCAATTAAGCCATGCATATGTGCCACGTAGCCTCCTGTGAGAAGGGGGAAAAGAGGACTTTTAGGTCAAGCAATTTCCTGTTAGGAAAGCAGAATGGAAGTTGTACATATCTATCTACTGACATTTCACTGGAGAAAATGTAGTCACCTGGTCACACAAAACTGAAGGGGGAGCTGGGCAATGGAATCTCTAGTTGGACAGCTAGAAAAAGGTAGAAAAGATCCGGAGCAATTATCAGATGGCCACGATCTCCAAAAGCAAATGCAATAATTCTTATCTAATGGTCAGACTTTTGATCCACATCCAGAAAAAAAGCCGCAGCTCTGTGAAAGTGCCATGAACAGAGCAGACAGAGCAGACGAGAACCAAATCATCTCTATTCCATAGGAGAGGAGAGATGTTGCACTTCTAGAGTACACTAATTTGACATTGTGAGCAAAATTAGGGCAATAGAGAGGAAGCTTGCATCTGTGGTTTTCCCCTGGTAGCCTTCAGTTTTTCCTAGGCTGCTGTTGGAAGAAAATGAAACATATCAAAAGTGTGGAAAGGCCGAGAGAAGCCAATTGGTACAGACACGCTGGCTACAGGGCAAAGTGACAGCTAACAGCAGGGATGGAGACAGGGCACGCCAAGCAGAAGGGTACGTGGGTCTGGGATAATTTAATACAGTGAAAGTATCCCTAAACACACTTGAATGTTCTCTGAAAGCATCGCTGTGTTGCTGCCAAGCACAGAAACTGATGTTCATGAGGGTGAACTGGGTGAAAGAACATCCCTAGAAGATGGGTATAGGATCCAATATTATTTACATTTTCTCCACCTCTCTTTATCCTCCTCCCTATCTCTCCTGCACCAAAAACCAATCCTGAGATAATTTTTATCCCAATTAAATGAGATTTAAGCGAACATTAAGAAAATACATTTAATGAGAAAAGAAATCTCAAAGGTGGAACCTGTAATCTAATGGAACAATTTCTGTGTGGCCAACAAGGAAGGTTAAATGGCCCAATATTCACAGAATCAAGCATTTAGTACAATTCATAAAGATATATTTAGTAGATAAAATTTAAATGCTGCCATGCTTTAAAGGCAAACTTCACTCACCCAGATAGCCTCATTACCCAATAGAATTATGCAAATCAGGTTAAACCTCATGAACTTAATATTTAATAAAGTTTCTCATTTTTTTCATACTTTAGTATGCAGAGAAAACACATTTGATGACAATGAGAATGTCTCAATGGATATGTTTAAAATTATTATTGGTCATAATTGTGTGTGTGGGTATTGTTTTACTTGTTAGTTTTCCAAGCCTAGAAGGTGAACTTAACGAGTTACTAGAGCAGATTTTTCAATCACTTTAAAAATGTCACTTGCCGTCATTCTAATGAATTTGTCCAAAGAAGGAAAATGATATTACAGATAGCTCTAAAAATAATAATCAGAAATCAATTTATGTTTTAAGAATATGTGTCTGTGTGTATATCTGTATCTGATATTCTTGGTATTCCCAGCATTTCAAACAAATCATAAGAAAACAGTCTGACTTGAACAAATTACTAAGCTTCTAGCGTCCCCTTCTGGACCTCAGGAAAGCTAAGAATTAAGAGAATTCAATTCCATCCAACAGGATCTTCTGTACATCTACTAAGTATTGATTAGTGATTTTAAGTAAGATAACTCATACTCTTTAGCCGGCTTCACCCCCAAACGGAGAGCCTGCCATAAAGATACAGAGCAAGAAGTCATCTGGGTCTCAGGAACAAGGAGCAACCAAGACCTAGAAAGCTCTCAGAACACTCTGCCTCTCTCTGCGTGACTGCTTCGTTTATTTGCATGTCTTTATTCTGAAGGACTTGCTCTACTTCTTTCGACCATAGACAAACTGGTAATCTCTGGATTGCAATTTCAAATTTCCAGGACAGGGAAACATATTAGCCTAGTTTATTTCAGGTTTCTACTGCCAACCCTGCCAGCTGAGGCTGATGTGGCAAGATCACATATACGAAAGCAGCTAAAAGGGAAATAACCCTAAAGTTAGGGAGGTAGTTCCCAGAGAAAGGAGATTATTTAGAGGTGATCAGATAGTCTCTAAATTGTCCTTATACATTATATACTTAGCCTGGAATAAGAATTTTGGGAACAAAAGAGATGTTTATATTATAATCCCTGTCTTTACAAAGGTCACAATCTCATAAACCCACATGTAATCATGAAGGAGTAAAATTTAGTACCGTGTTTAAGTACTGAATTGATGGCTTTGATCGAAAGGGAGCTGAATATAGTGGAAACATGATGAAACCTCCTTTATGTATCCTTAGATGGGTCACAGATTCTTGATTTGTGGCTCTTCATCTTATCTGTAAAATATGGATGATTACATTTAACTTAAAGGCATTTTTTTGGTGATAATTAAGTGCAGCACATAGTAAACAGCAGAATCCAGGTTAAACCAGTTTGGTTCAACAAGCTTGTATTAAACACATCCTTGGTGAAGCACTGGACTAGATCATGGCAAAAGAATTAAACATAGGTGTTTGTTGTCCTTGGGAAATTCACAGACTGTTGGAGGAGGGGTGGGGGGGTGGAGAGGAAACAGATGAACAGTTAATTCAATGATTCTGGATATGCTTTGGATTGATCTGACAAGTTTTTAGGGGGTGCTAGGACATAAACTGGGTCTTATGGAGGTAGATAGGACTTGAACAGGAACGCTGCATATCAAACTGGGTAAAACTTTGAGCTAGTTGACCCAGCCCGGCAAGGTTGACAGTTCACATTTTCTCTGTGGCAAGGAAGTTAATTAGTAAGTAAAAAGACCTTTTCCAAACAATGCTGGGCTTAAATAAAGGGGCTAAGGGAGATATCAATGCAATTTTTAAGCAGGTTTTTATATAGTAAAGGAAGTTATAAAATCCACAGTGTACATCATCTACCAATAGGTAGAATCGAAAGCATATTTTTTGCGCTCAGTGAAAATGAAAATACTCAAGAAACGTACATTAGAATTAATAGTATAAGTTCAGAAAATTTATGCCACAAACTGACACTAGATAAATTTCAAAATCACTCTTTGCTGGATTAACTGGGGGAAAAAAAAAAGAAAGAAAGAAATGACACCAGCATTTGACTATTTTAAAGTTGCTGCACTAGTCAAAGCCTGCCAGAGCAATTTACCATCTCAGAACAATTTGTTCACTTCACTTAGAAATTAGAAGTGTGTTGGGGCCAATAAATCTAAATTTATTTGTAGTAGTCATTTTTCTTAATGGAAGTGTTTTTCAGATGTTGCCTAAGTCTAGTCGTCTGGGACCTCTTCCAATAAATGAGGAAAGTTTGATTTCATAGGTTGTCACTGTTGATTTTGTCTAACCTTTGGACTAATTGGTTCATCCCAATGTATTTGCCCTGGTATATAAGACTTCCAGGACATTGGAGAAATTCATCTCTCCTTTTACGGGTAAGTGTCAAAGTTAACTTGCTTCATGGAATTAAATGTGTTTTCAGTTCAATAGGGATATACCTTATTAAAGGTGTTTGAAAAGATTTATAAGGATAGTGGTTGGAAAGTTTTGAAAAGGATCACAGTTATGCAATACACCTGCTGGAAGCTTATAACTTTATTTTGAGAGTTAAGGGAAAGTTGGAACAATAACTCTTGTTTGTTAAATTAAATTTTACTGAAGCTGGTTATTTTTTTTTTTTCCCCCAAGATAGGATTTAAACCCTGCACTGTAAGTACATGCTGTAATTTGAATAGAGTTTGAAGACAAGTCTGTTTTCTATTTGGGGAGATTCTAAAGTATTAAAATCGTCAGTAACATGACTGTGATAGCGATCTGATTATTTTTTTCTGCATAAGATTAAATCTAATGGTCAAATATTTACAACGAATTAAGGCTGGTTACTTTAAAAGTCTTGTTTCAAGAATCAGATGGTTTTTATCATTAAATTGCATTTTAAAAATTACTGAAACACTGTATGTAACACAGGCATAAATTAGTCGTGAGATTCAAGAGCAGTTTTCTGATACTTTTTTCTTTTCAGCAAGGGCTCAGTACCCGAAAACAACTATGGAGAGGAAAATACTTCCCATTTACTTTTTGTTGCTGCTTTCTGTTTTCTTGATTCAGCAAGTTTCTTCTCAAGGTAACTTAACCATCAAAAATACTTTTATTTAACAACTATTGCTAATCATTCAGTTCTGACTTTTATGACAACAAAAGAAATAGATTTCTAAAAACGTATATTTGTTTAAGTTTAATACATAATAAAACCTTAAAATTATGTATAGAATATATAGCATATTTATAAGCATTTTGTATTATGAAGTTTTTCAAGAAGTTTTGAGCTTTTCAATGGAATAATTTTTGTACTAACTATTCCTATAGTTCTCCCAAAGGTTTAAAAAAATATAGACACTTACACAATAAAACTATGCTGAAATGATAAAATATCATCAGATTAACTGAAATGAACAATATGTATATAGCATATAATTTTTTCCTACATGTTTACAAAGAAATTTAATCTTTTACATCAAATAAATTATGGCATCATGTCGATATATTACAATGAACATTTACAATGTTTCAAATGACATTTTATTAATCTTGAAAATGCGCCTTCTTTCTTATAAGGACTGTTCATCCAGATATAAATTTACACAGGTATGAATGTCATTTTATATTATAATATTGAACCACTCACAGCCATCCAAAAACAGAGTTAGTCCTGGATGAACAGTTCTTGTTATTCATTTTTAGAGAATGTTAAGGTACATTCAGTGTAATCACCTTAACAGAAGTCTCTAGCATCACAAGATAAATTACTTAACAATAACACCAAGCTTTGGATTTTTGTTTCCTTTTCTTTTTTTTTTTTTTTTTGGTTCAAGTTATTGTTTTTTTTTTTAAATTAATTTTTATTGGAGTATGGTTGCTTTACAATGTCCTTTTCTTTTTTTCTTTTTCTTTGATAAGCAAAATCTGAGAGAAGAAAAATCAAGGTGCATGACTGTTATGGCATTGTTTACATTTCCAGTAAAATAATTAAATAAGCCTGAGCATGTGAGATAGCTGCCTGCCATGGACATAGTTTCAGAATCACTTAGATAAGGTGGGAAAACGCATGAAAGAAAATATAAATATTTAATCAGAATGACAAATACCAGAGTGTATCCAAACCCTCTGCTCTCTCAGAATAATATTACAAGGTTCATAACACTGGGTGCATTTCCTGAGCTACCTCTCCTCTGTGATACAATTGGCTGTTCACTAGAACAGTTTTACTCTCCTTTAAATAAATGAAATTAAAATTAGTTGTTAAAATCAACATCAATAAAAGTAGGACAGCCATTAAATCTATGGAAATAAATTTTCCTGTAAAGATGGTTGACTTCCTATTTCAGAAATCTGCTAGTTATAAAAGAATAACCTTTTGATGTTGTCTTGTCTGCTTTTCTTGCGTTCTCAGCCTCTTCCCATTCTTTTTTCTTTATATATATGTATTTATATACATACACTATATATGATATGCATTTTTGTATGTATTGTGCACATGTGTATGTAAAAAGTTCTGAAAGTTGTTCTAATGTTTACTGTTTTATTTGCATATTAAGACTTTAACTTTCCTGGACTCATTATTTTGAGTAATTTTTCAGTGTGCTTCTGCGTCCCTCTATGGATTTAGGACATTTCACCTGCCAGTTTCTATTCCAGAGATGGATTCAGTTGTTACATTTCTGAGGTTATCTTTCAGGGAGGTTTTCAAGGTGTTTTCTAAATGACTTAAAAAATATATTTAAGGATAATTACGCTTTTGTTTTTGTTTTGTTTTACCCAAAATAACTCTGTTCATGACCTTTATTCAAGTCCAGATGCTTTTCAAGAGTCACCTATTTGGTACTCTCTTTAGTGGTGGTCGTAAGCATCTGACTTCCCCAACACTTATAGTGCCCAGTTATCCCCACCCATGAGAGGAGCAGGGGCCTAGGAAAGTTTGTGCTGGCATGACTAGCTTGCTGTAAACGTATGATCAGAAATGAGAGGCAATGTGATCAGGACAAGTTTGGGTATCAGAATCAGATATATTAGAGTTCAAATTCTAGGTGGGCTGTTTACTTAGGATGACCATATAATTTACTATGCAAATCAAGACACTTCTAAGAGTGAAAGAGGTCACTATGAATGATTTTTTAAAATTTATTTATTTTATTTTTGGCTGCGTTGGGTCTTTGTTGCTGTGACCAGGCTTTCTCTAGTTGTGTCGAGTGGGGGCTACTCTTGGTTGTGGTGCGCGGGCTTCTCATTGCAGCGGCTTCTCTTGTTGCAGAGCACGGGCTCTAGGTGCGCAGGCTTCAGTAGTTGTGGCTCGCAGGCTCTAGAGCGCAGGCTCAGTAGTTGTGGTGCACGGGCTTAGTTGCTCCGAGGCATGTGGGATCTTCCCAGACCAGGGCTCGAACCCGTGTCCCCTGCATTGGCAGGAGGATTCTTAACCACTGCGCCACCAGGGAAGTCCACTATGAATGATTAATAGGTGTTAATTGACCTGTAATACATATATTATTAAGTTATTAAGTAGCTGGGTGCCCTTGAGCAAGTTATTAAAATTTCCGTGTTTCAGCTTTACCTCTAAAAAAGAGACTACTAATACTCTCCTGGCAACGTTTCATAAGCATTAGAGATAATGTATGACTCAGTGCCCAGCACAGAGATGCTCAGTAAATGGCAACTAGTCATCATCCTAGTAGCAGTATCAGTAGAGCTGTAGCTGCCAGCCCTCCTCCAGGAATACCATCCTCTTTTGTGCAAAGCCATTACTCAGCCTGATTTTCAAAAGTGCATTTATCTTCTCAGTCTAGTAATGAATAAATTGGCATGATCAAGGTCACCTAGGAGACCAGGCAAAAGTCACCTGGACCCATTGCTTACCATCATTCCCAACCTTTCCAACTGATAAAATTCTGCCTCATCAAGCAGCTTTGTCCTCCTCCCTAGATTTCTTCCTTTTTACAAAGTGGCTTGGCCCTGTTTACACTAGTATTGTATAATTTTAGATTTATCAAGCTGTGCAGGGAGATGTGGGGAAGGGTATTCTAGAGATGCCACCTGCAACTGTGATTATAACTGTCAACACTACATGGAGTGCTGCCCTGACTTCAAGAAAGTCTGCGCTGTAGGTAAGTCCTGAGAGCTGGTGTCTCCTCTGTCAAGCACATGTCCTGTGAGAGTCTCCTTGCACCCCTTGCAGTGCTGTTGTCACACTATTTCACTTCTCTGTGCTGAAGTGCCTTTCCCTTCCCTTGCGTAAATGCTGCAGTGTGCTGTGCCTGAGGGTGGTGTCAAAGCTTGTGATCACTGGGGGAGGTTAAGGGGAGCCTGGAAGTCTGTCACTTGCACAAGGTTACTGACTAGTGCCAAGTATCATGTCTTGTTTTAAACAGAGGCAATACTATGACTCAGGAATCATTAAGTAAATAGTAATGAGTAATTCTTTGCTATTAACCAGAGAGGTAATTGCTTAGGGATGGAGCCCTTCAAGAGCTTCATCAAAAAATTCATGGACATAAAATAATCTTGCTGTTTAACTTTTTGTTATTAATATGTTTCTAAATTACCTGAAAAAGGCACTTTAAAAGTGTTTAATGAGTGTATAATGATGAATTTCAGTTACATCCCAAAGGGTATGAATTTTAAATTATGATACTTCATTTAAACATACTTTGAACCATTTTCTTGTTAACGTGCAAATATTTCATATTTAATTTATGAAAGTTATAATTAAAAGTGGCTCAAAGTTATATTTGCTTCAGAATTTGCATGTGAAGTTGATAAATATATTGTTGTACAATTTGTTTGTTGAGTAAGGTAATTATTTCAAATAGGCCTGGGTAAATCATCGTGGCTTTAACCAAGACTTTTTTGGAAGTGAGCAGGCTTCTTATATAGTCCATATCATGGGATTAGGCTGAAATCTTTCAACTCTACACCATACCCAGTTTATCATGACAAAGATTTCTGTATTATAAATGATTTTTGAGCCTAAACAGTGACCTATTTATATTAAGCCAGCTCTTTAGAATATATTGTTGTAGAATATGCATGCTCAATTGACAAAAATCTACTTAAAAAGTAGCAGTATCAAAAGGAGAGAATGGTGGGAATTCATATGAAGTGTACTTACCTCTTTAGGCATTTCCCAATTTTCCACTGTCCATACATGAAATGACTCAGACAGCATTGGGCTGTCTCTTGGAGCCTTGAAGGGCAAGAAAATTTTCCTTAGTCACCATATTTCTTTCTTGACCAGGACTGTCTCCACTTGGGAAACCATCTATCTTCCAAATTCCAAATAAAAGACTTAGCTATGCACTTTTGGAACTCTAGTCAGCTATAGGGTGGGAAATGGCTATCAATACATGGGCATGACTGATTGTGTAACCAATAATCCATAATGTTTTGCTTTGCTCTGGGTAGAGTTTTCCTGTAAAGGCCGCTGCTTTGAGTCCTTTTCAAGAGGGAGGGCGTGTGACTGTGACTCAGAATGTAAGAAGTACGGCAAGTGTTGTTCCGATTATGACAGTTTTTGTGAAAAAGGTAAGCATCTCAGTACCAATCAGTGCCTCTCAGTACAGCCAGATCTGTGCACCTGTCTTAGCTTCACTGATAATGTCTTAACATGCGGTACAACTCAGGTCGTGATTTTACTAACATATACGCTATTTCATATTAATTTTGTTTCACCAAGATGAATTAAAGAAGGAATGCTTCTTCTAAAGCACTCCCTGGCTCAGCCAGGCTCCAGGAGTGCAAGTGATTGCAGGTTGAGTAACGGAGAGGATAGGGGCTGGGCATACATGCTTTTCTCCTCCAGGTGTGGTTCAATTTCAGGTTAAATCGACAGTAAGCAGCTCATTTGATGATTTCTTGTCTAATCCTATGGTGATGACCCCACAAAGTCAACTGTCCTTTGAGCTATCTGTGCTTTTGCTCTCAATGTTTTTGAGTGTATATTTGAGGACAGAATCAACACGTCCAGTTTCTCTGAACTAGTAAATTTGAGTCAGTTTAAAGTACTAAGTTGATAGGCAAACCAAGAAGCTAACTGTCCATTGTATTTCCCTTCTGATCTTTACAGTCCTCTCAGTAGTCTCTATCTAAATGCCTGTGTGTGAAGGAGTCAATAAAAATAGGTAGTTCCATTTTAAAATCCTCTTCTCTGGTTTTGGTCCTGAAGGAGTACTCTTGAGGGCATAAAACCCTCCAGATTTACCAAAAAAAAAAGGACTTTAAACAATGTACTTAAATAATGAATTCCTTTCTTTTACCAAATGTTTGTTCTTAAATCCTACTCTGTTAAAACAAGAATATCTATGGGGGTAAAAGTGAAAATAAGCATTGCTTGCATAATCTTATTTTATTTAAACAAGGCTGCACCTTCTGCTTCTTTCAAACAGTGGAGAAATAGGGTGGAAAACTATTAATCAGCATAGTTAAGGAATATTTCTTAACTCTTCAATGTTTTCATTGGAGAGCATTCCAAAAATAATGGAGACAACCCGCTGTAATCAAAATCGCAGAGTTCAGAGTTCCTACAGCTTTCAGAAGGACACATGAGATGAGTGTTCCATATTTACTCATCACTCTGATAGCTGTTTTGGCTGTGAGACAAAAAAACTAAGAATTTATTTTGGGCAGAGGATGGATGGGGAGGGAAGATAGTTAGAGAATGACAAAGCATTGAGAGAACATGTTAATAAAGACAGTAGTTTATGCTACCAAGTGGTGGGTCAGATTACTTGAGGTTTTTGTAAAACTCAAGGATAAAAAATTGATGAAGGTAGTGCATCATTTACAGAATTCACAGAGATAGTCAGGGTCCAACTGAAAATGAAGGCATCAACTAGATCTTCAGTACTTCATTTTTATTTATTTTCTTTTAAATTTTCTTTTACTTATTTTTTTATACAGCAGGTTCTTATTAGTCATCCATTTTATACATATTAGTGTATATATGTCAATCCCAAACTATCAATTCATCACACCACCATCCCCCCCTGCAGCTTTCCCCCCTTCGTGTCCATACGTTTGTTCTCTACATCCGTGTCTCAATTTCTGGCCTGAAAACCAGTTTATTTGTACCATTTTTCTAGATTCCACAAATATGTGTTAATATACGATATTTGTTTTTCTCTTTCTGACTTACTTCACTCTGTATGAGAGTCGCTAGATCCATCCACGTCTCTACAAATGACCCAATTTTGATCCTTTTTATGGCTGAGAAATATTCCATGTATATATGTACCACAAATTCTTTATCCATTCGTCTGTCAATGGGCATTTAGGTTGCTTCCATGACCTGGCTATTGTAAAAGGTGCTGCAAAGAACATTGGGGTGCATGTGTCTTTTTGAATTATGGTTTTCTCTGGGTGTATGCCCAGTAGTGGGATTGCTGGATCATATGGTAATTCTATTTTTAGTTTTTACGGAACCTCCATACTGTTCTTCATAGTGGCTGTATCAAATTACATTCCCACCAACAGTGAAAGAGGGTTCCCTTTTCTCCACACCCTCTCCAGCATTTGTTGTTTGTAGATTTTCTGATGATGCCCATTCTAACTGGTGTGAGGTGATACCTCAATGTAGTTTTGATTTGCATTTCTCTAATAATTAGTGATGTTGAGCAGCTTTTCATGTGCTTCTTGGCCATCTGTATGTCTTCTTTGGAGAAATATCTA